TATGGTAAACGTAAAGACATTAACTTCAAGAGCACAAAGGCATACATCGAAAAACCAGTTACGTACCCTCTCGACATACAATGGATGGTTGCTGAGATTCCACAACAAAAGGAAGTCTCAGTGTAAAAGAATAATCTCCTTTTCTATATGTTTAATTTTTTTATTTTAATCATTTGTTATATAATGAAAAATTCTCATCTTATGCAGCGATTGTGGTGTATTTGTGGCTGTATTTACGGAGTATGTTAGCCTTGGAGATTTGGCAATCCCAAAGGAAGATCTTTCTTATATTGACCAACACCGTAGATGCTATGGAGCTCTACTGTGGGACTATGCAACAAAGAAGCAAGAAGATGGGTCAATCAGTGAGAGTGAGGTTACTGGCAGGCTAGCAAGGAGGAAGGGTGCTCCGGCAAAAAACGAGAGGACTAGAGTGCAACGAAAGAAGAAATAGACTATTGTGTTCCTAGTTTGGTCTGTGAAATTTGGTAGTTGAATTGGAAAACAATGTAGGAAATATGTCGTTTTGGTTTTCTACAACACTTTTTGTTGATTACATTATACTCGAGTACTCTGATTACATTTTTACAGCAACAGCTTTGTCTTACAATTTGACTTTAATCTTCAAGTTATTTTTATAAATACCTTCAAGTGCCAAGTAATATCTGTATATAACTGTCATTTGTTACACAACATAAAGATAAAATAAATACAGGAATCATATAAATAATTTAGCCATCTTTTATCAACAAGGTTTATCAAAAAAATTCAATTTATCTACATTTAAACTACGTCAAACTACATTTTAACTACAACTCCTCTACATATGAATAACAGGACTACAGTTCTAACACAGTTAAACTACATATTCACTACAATCTGGATACAATTTACGTTGAATGCATTCTTTATTAATATCAGTTTTTTTGTATACAGTAAATATTAAAGTTTAACTATTCTATAAAAAAAAGACAACTTTAGATGCTTGACAGAATACATAAAAACATAAATAGTGCAGATACACAAATTGATGTTTATACTTCTTATTCATCTTCAAAAACTTAAACAATTACACAAGAAAATCCGATAATTTGAGCTCACTAACATTTATTTTGAATAAGTATTCTAACTACATGATATTCATTTCTTTTTCGGCGCATTCTTGCAAGTTCTTTTGTCATGCCCTTCACCTCCACAATTACCACATGACACCTTGTATTTCTTTGACTTTATTTCATCAAATGTTTTATATCTTTCCTTGTGAGGTCTCCCTGGCTGCCTTTTATCTCCCGCCGGTGGCTTTACTACCTCATCCAAAATATGTTGTGGCATTTCCCATTTGCCTTCATCAGGAAGAGGATTTACTGGCATTTCATAGGTAAGAAGAAGGCTCTTCCTTGTGTAATACGGAGAGCAATAGTTTTCGTATGTTTCATTCCTATGCCTTAATGCTGCCAAAGCATGCGCACATGGAAGTTCATCAAGTTGGAATTGTCCACAGCTACATTTCTTGTTTTCTAGACACACAATGTACCGCTTCACACCATCTAACACAGTATGTATATGATCTGTTGAAGCCCTCACCTACAATTGAAGACCAAACAGAAATAATAATACATCAATCATTAAAATGGATTATCAACAATTTACCTACAAATCAGCAACAAATATATTACAGCTCATCTACAAACTATTATTATCGACAATTTGACTATAGTTTAACTACAATCTGGAAAAACTGCAGCTAGTACTTTTTTGATTCTACTGCACCAAAAAAAATATCTTACCCTTAGTTTCTGAGATAATGTACTATTGTCTTCCAATTCTTTGTTGTATTTGTGACCAAGGTATGTGAAAGTACCCTTTGCCTTCGATAACTTTTATTTTGTCCAACATTCAAGAAGAGTCCTCATATACTCAAATAGATCAAATATTGGAAGCTCTCTTGCATCTTTTGTTACAGCATTCAACGACTCGGCAATGTTTGACGTCATAGTAAAAGTTCTATTTACCGTTGCATGTACTCTTGACCATCTATGNTTAAGAAGAGATATAGTTTCTACAATTTGAATACTGATATCGACGAAGAGCAATTTTGTACAATTTGAGACGAAGAACAGATATAGTCTCTCTTCAGTAATTGTACAATTTGATTGCGTTTTTTGTGAAATCTCTTTCTGTTGAGGAAGGAGAGAATTACGCAATTGGTGTCTTCATCAGGAAGAGAGATCTCCTTCATTTCAAAATTGGAATAAAATCCTTGACAGAATCACATCAGATTTGGTGCCTTCATTTTAGGGCTTTTTTAATGGCAAAATCTACCTATTTTTGGATTGGTATATAATTTGTAGTAAAAGTGTGGACTACATGGGTAAATAACAAATTATGAACATTTTTGGTAATAATGTTTGATATATGGTATAGATAGGTAAAAATCCCATTCGAATTTTACTTCTAAATATTAGGACTTTTTATAAAGCCCAAATAAAGAAAGGCTTGGGACCCATTTGACACAAAGATTCATTTTTTCACTTTTTCAGGGAATTAGTGCCATGAAAATTTCAAATTTTCACTTGAAGTTAAATTTTGGAATTTGGAAAACTCCAAAAAGTTGTATTTCAATATTTTCACTTGAAAGCACTCACAAAAATTCAAAAACAATTCCAAATTATATTCATGTCCAAACATAAGTCTAATTTTTAAATACCATTTTTCACTTGGAAAAAAATTTCATTTTTTCAAAATTTCACAATTCTAATGTCCAAATGCCCACTTAATATTCAAATTTTATTTAGTTTCAAGCTCCTAAATATTAGAAAAATAGGTAAATGATGATTTTTTAATTGTGTCTGTTTCTCATGTCATTGAGTTAATAGTTTTTAAAAAATAACATAAATAGTATTATACGATGTGTTTGAACTATAAGAAAGTGTAACATTCTAAAATATATTTTGTTGATTCTATTTAGCTAGCTCAATGAAGGATAAATCGTACCACATGAAAATTTTCAAAGTGTTATAAAAATATCTTGTTAAAATTATTGTTATTTTGTACTCTAATATCGAAAATGAACAAAAACAAAAAAACAAATACATTTATCATGACACCGTCTCAAATACTACAAATTAAAAAAATTAAATCTTTTAATCTTTTAGAATAATTCACTATGCTACAGGATAAAGCGTATAAAAATTCGATATATGAAGGCACAATTTTATGATTTTGTTACCTTGCTATAGAATCGTGTAAAAATTAAGGAAATTAGTTTTATTCTTTTGTTATTCACTCGTAGCAATTAAGGATTTTTCCAATTATTATTTCTTACCTAGTTTAATAATAAAAGATTTAATGACCAAAATTTTAGTTGATTTTAAAGTCCTAAAAATTAGGAAATTAATTTAAATTATAATTTTATCCAATGTGAAATATGATTTTAAGGGGTAAAAAAGGCGAACGACATTTCGCTAAGGACCTTCGTGTTTTTAATATAGGATAGACTAGTCTCTATGTACGTGCGTTGCACGTAAATCTTCATTTAATTATTTACCTTACAGAACAAGAACTAAATTTATTATAAAATTATATACAAGAAGAAAGAATCCTTGAAAAGCAATTGACATGGATGCAATGCAATTATATAAATATGTTGTCTATTGGTAAGAGGTAGTTAAAATTATTTATCTAATTCTTTTCTGAAGGTGAGAATTATTATTTATTGGACGGTAAGCGCTAAAAGAGTATATAAAATGCGACCTACATATGACCCTAAACCAAAGCACCGTAATTGAGAATAAGACAAAAATAGTTATTTTCGTCAAATTCATATATATGGCCTTAAACCAAAGCATTACTCAATTTCGAAAAAGAAAAAAGAAAAAAAGAATTAATAATGCCTTTGGAAAACTTTGCTCCTTTCTACGACAATATCACAATTATATCCAATAGCCAAACCCTACAAACTAAAGATTTCAATATTAACAAATAAAGAAATTAAAAAAAAAAAAAAAAAAAAAAAAAAAAAGCAAAATAGAACCATGTTAGAACTATCTTTCATTAGCATATAAAGACGTTATGGAAGAGCGCCAGAAGAAACAAATAGGCAAAGTTTTTGACATGCTTAATTATAGCCAATTACAAACGGTAAATATAGTAGTAACAAGGATGTAAACTACTTGTTAATTTAAAAGTTTATACTTTCTGTTGGTTTGGAATTTACCCGGCATGAGGTTTATGCAGCTACTCTTTGAATATCTGCATAAAAAAAGTTTATTATGAATAATGTGGAACAATACTCATACAAACTGGAGAACCAAATACCAAGCATAGCCCAAGAATTATACGCAATATCTTGTAGGGAATGTGTATGTGTAGTATAGATTGGAAAAGAATTTCAGCCTTGGATAATTTATAACTACATACTTAAAAATTATATATAAATAATGTTTTTGGAATACTTTAGTCGTTCTTTATTCATCGATAGACATGAGGAATATTCTATAAACAAATATGATCCTTTTCCAGATCTAACTCCACATTACATAAAACTAAAAGATTTTAACCCTAAGAAATAAGGGAACAAAAAAGAAAGCAAAAAAAAATCACCTAATTAGGAAAATTATCTTTGGTTTGCAAATAGAAAAAGAAATAAAAAAGAGAAGCTTTTGACATGCTTATAACCAACTACAAATTGTAAATACATGAAGTTATTACGTAAAGTACCTGTCCACTTGTAATTTTCCCGGCTAGAGGTCCATGCGGCTATACACTTGTGAGAGCATAAGCAAAAAAGGGACGGTAAAACCTTTTTTTATTACAGTAATTAAGGTATTCTTATTCAGGTGGGACTTGTATGGAAGTAGGATGCCTGATTGGTATAAGAATTCAACGCAAATTTGTATTACGGTGAGGGTTTTCATGTTAGAATTTTAGTTTAGATTGGAAAGAATTCCAGTCTTGGATAATTTACAATTACATCCTTAAATTATATAAATATTTAAGGGCATAAACGTCAATTAATATTTTGAGGATATTTTAGTCCTTCAACATTTAGCAAAAAATATTTGTGCTTTTATAATAATATAGATATATATATATAGATAATCATGGTATACGAGTCACCTTGCCCCCACCTCGACTAATTTCACGGGATATCGGCTACCTCCCACTAGCATAGGTACCGAATAATTCTGTCCACCAAAACTTGGACAAATGAGAAGAAATCAGCTAGTTCCTCTACTGGATTTAAATCTAAGACCTCATAGCCAATCAAACACCATCATTTAAAATGAAAAGGATGGTGTATAACTCATGCTTTATTAAGTATGGATAAATGTAGGACATGTTTACTGGGGAACAGAAACTTCAACATCAACAACAATATGGGCGATGACAGAAATGATGAGGAACCCAAGGGTGTTTGCAAAGGCACACGCTGAGATAAGAGATTTATTCAAAGGAAAAGAAACATTTGATGAGGATGAGATTGAGGAATTGAAATACCTAAAACAATTTGTTAAAGAAACCTTGAGACTTCATCCTCAGCTCCCTCTATTGGTTCCAAGAGAGTGTAGGGAAGAAACAAACATCAATGGATACTCTATCCCATTAAAAACAAGAGTCATGGTTAATGTTTGGGCAATTGGAAGGGATCCAAAGTATTGGGAAGACGCAGAAGATTTTAAGCCAGAGAGATTTGAGCAGAACTCTGTGGATTTTATGGGGAATAATTTTGAGTATCTTCCTTTTGGTGCCGGGAGGAGAATGTGTCCTGGGATTTCATTTGGTTTAATAAACGTTCACCTTCCACCGGCTAAATTGCTCTATCATTATTCTGATGTTCAATAAGTTGAGTGTTATCAAGGGGGACTGACACTTGTTTTTAACAAGCTCTACCATCCAAAATTATATGAAATTGCTTATTGATCTTTCAATTCATATAAAATTAGTCGTAGCAGTAGGCCCCTTTGTTATTAAATAGATACAAAATTGATCTTTTAATTCAATGGGGGCTCCAAAAGGTACAGTGTGGAGCAAAACTAATACTAGTGCTAGATAACTCAAGAAATTGATAGACAAACATATATACTGCGAAAGGCACTAAACTGCAAATGATTAGACTTGTTTCAATGAAGCAGAGCACTCCTGCACTACTCTTTATATCTCTATATAGCAGCAAAACTTACTATAGGAGTAATATCAGTCTCTACAACCTAAAAGTCTCAATTCGCAATACATAAGACATACCGCAGGTACGCATTTCATTAGGAAAAAGTAAAAAGAAAGTTACAGGTATCATTCTCTTTTCCAATTTTGCTTTAAATTCATTATTACTACAAATTTAAAAGCCCGAGCACCACTTTCCTCAACTAGAAAAATCTTATTTGCCACCACTCATGACTCAACACGCAAACGCCATAAATAAACTAAAACGTACAATGTAACCAAATTCTAACCATACCTCAATCATCCAGTCGATGCCTCAATCTAATTAACTCTTTGATCCATATCTCTCGCTCTCCACTTTCAGCGCAAAAAGCTTCGTCCCAAACAAATTACCGTCAAGCATAAGGATGCCCTTGTGGTACCAACCTCGAAACAGAGATTTTGATGTCCTCTACAATGCCCTTAGTTCTCAGCCTCATTTTTCTTCCTCAAATTTGGCCATTTAAAGCTTGAAGCTCCCCATTGTAAACATACAAATGTGATTTCAACAAAGGCCATTCTATCTCATTTGGCTCAAGCTCTATTGTCTTGTCAATACTACTAATAGCATCCACTATTTTTCTATTCTTTAGCTGAATTTCTATCAAATTCCTCATTTGGGTTCGATAGCAAAAAATCTTGGATGAACTTTTCATTTTCCTCCTCAGAAACTGAATTACTCAATTTTGTTTCTGTGGTGTGTGGGGAAGAAAATTCAGCAATGGCGGGTTTCGGGTTCACAAAGATAAGCGTTGTAGCTGTAATGGTGGTAAATGGTCAAGTTGGTGCTTTA